TTGTTTTTTCAATTATTGTTTTTTTATAGGTTCATCTAAAAATAAAATAATGTTATTTTTCTCTTAACAATTTAATGGGTGCTTATCTTGGTGTTTACATGTGCTTATCAAACAACTATTTGATCAAAACCGGTTTACAAAATTCCTAATTTAAATAATCAGAAAAAATGGGCAACAAATAGATATTAATCGTTGGTTTGTATTAATGTTATTGATGTGTTTAAAATTCTAATCGATAAAATCCACTTTGTTAAAATAAAATAAAAATAGCCAAAATAATTAAAGGATTTTTCATCATATGTATATAATTCTATTGATTGTTGTTACTTTCTAAACAAATTTATGTTAAATCAAATTTTAAATTTTGTTTTTATCGTTATATATTTAAATTCATATGATGAGATTGATCGAATTACACATATCTATTTATCTTGTCCAAGCAACAAATATTAGATTATAAAAAAAGTATGTACTCAAATTCAATATCTTGGATATGATTATGATATGGTTCGGAATTATCGTGAGTCATTGAATTTTGTATTGTATCGTACATGATTTAAGCAAATTTGTTTTTCAACTCATAGTATATATATATGTAAAAGGATTCGAGATTACTGTGGCAAAAAAAACTCTTGGTTGGTGGTAGGGGTTGTTATTATTATTGCTAGATGTATGTAGTCTATACTTGGAGAAATGGTTGGTGATTAGTTGAATGTTATGATTTCGTATTTTATATATAATTTTATAATCAATTGTAGTGACTAACTTGCATTATTGTGTGCCCCAAGTTAGTGTAACGAATTAATATTTATATCGAGTTATATATCCACTGAAATAAGATTATGCGTCATCATCAGTAGTGCCTAGGAATTTAATTTACTAATCCAACTTTGTTGACTAGTTAAGTGCATTATAAACTCTAAAACTACCGAATCAAAAGGTTTGAGGATAATCACGAGAATACCTATAACACAAAAGGTATGAACTATTTAAAAAAATACTACACATTAGGGTATGTGTAAAAGTAAAAATAAAACGAAAAATAAAAGCCGAATTTTAATATTGAGAAATTGCATGATTGCATCTAATAACATTAACTGGTCTTAATATACTCCAATAATATTATTATTCAAGAAAATAATGTGTGTTCGGTTCTTGGAGGGACAGTTGAATGTTATAGGAGTAATAGTATATTACGTACTACATTAGGATATGAAGATAAGTTGACAAAATAATAAGAGTAATGATAAAAAAAGGAATTAATGAAACCCAAAAAGAGAAGAAAGAATCAAACATGACATTAAAAAAAACTCAATAATTGAGATCTGAGAGGACGTTGAAGATGACCCCCAAAAAGATATTGGGAGTTGCCACCTCTCATATCCAAACAACGACAGATAAACAAACAGCAAACAATTTAAATAGATTACACCGTTATTATTTTGTAATGACT